CCTTTACTTACAGTAGTGGTTCCCAAATCGTTCAGCTTCTGAACCACAAAATAACTGTGGAAGGGATTCATGCTGCTGACTATCTATTGAGGATACAAGTATTTTCACAAAACAGAGCTATACTGCTAACAGTATAAGCAGCCAGTATAAGGTGTATGTGAGTGCAGTTTTGTTTTACATATATATATATATTTCCAGCATTTAATATTGTATACTTTGTATAAACTAAGATGTTTTTTATATGCTTAATTTTTAGATCTGGTTTTAGTAAAAAGAGATCATTGTTGACACAGCACCTCCTATTCAAATTACCATGTAAATTGTTGCCACTTTCTAAGTATGTACTAATGCAAATGTATGGACACAAAGGTTCATAAAATGTAATGACGACTGAAGTCTACTTTGCTCTTTGTTCCTCTCAAACACTTGTTAGCTTTTAACTCTGGGTGCAAAGAGAAATACTGACACATTTCTAAATAATGTTTTATTAGTGGGTTACAGGCCAGTCATTTCTTTCCTAGATTAGCTCCTAGATTAGATTGGCTCTCTTGGAGTGTTCCTTTAGTGCAGAGCTCTTTAAACCTGGTCCTCAGGACCCATTGTCTTGCATGTTCCAGACAGTCTCTTGTCCTACACACCTGAGTCAAATATATGTATTCCCTCCTTATAGCAGTCTTTAAGGGCCGAGCCCTGTTAATCACATAGTGATCTAAGTCAGGTGATAGGGACTAACTTAAAATATGCAGGGGATTGGGTCCTTAGAACCAAAGTTGAAGAACCCCTGCTTTAGTCCAGACATGCATGCCCAAAGTTGGTCCCCGAGGGCCACTATCCTGCAGGTTTTAGACGTTTACCACCTCAGTACAGCTGATTTCTATTGATAACGCTGATTGTCTTTGGCTGAACTGCAATGGTCAGAATCAGCTGAGCTGAAGTAGGAAACTCTCTAAAAACTTGCAGGACGACTTTGGGCAGTCCTGGTCCAGAATAACTGTTTCTGAGGCCTAACGCTATCTGCTATTTCAATCTGAAAAACTCACATGAAGAGAAAAGACAGTTAGACGAACTTTATTGATACAATTACTTTGTCTCTGGCGCTCAGTCCTCGGCAGGAAACATAGCGCTGAATTTTGATAGATATGCATGAACAGGAGTAAAGAATAAGGCTGTTTCCCCCCCAGGCCTGAAACTGGTGGTGGGTTGGAGATAGATTGGGTTAGTCAGTCTATAGACTGCTGGTTAGCGAGACGGTATGCTGAGCTTTATGGGGAGATCCAGTGGACTGCGTGAGCTGATAGTGAGCTTCACTGAGGGACCTGGAAGATGGAAGTCCAGCTTAGATAACACAGGATGAGAGAACCTGTCCAGGATGAGCAAACATGAAGCGACAGTGGAGAGGAAAAACTCCCTGTTTGGAAGAAACCTATGGCAGAACCAGGCTCAACATGGCGGTCTTCTGCCAGAGCAGTTGAAATGAGATGCGGAATGCAGTAAGAGTCCAGAAGCAATGACACTCTGATGAAGTTTTAGCTACGATGGTGGAGGAGGGGCTGGAGCTGGGTTGAAACGGGGTAATCTCTGCGCAGTAGGAGCAGACAAGTCGAGGATCGGAGGCATTTTAAGATGAACTTTGGATGCCGATTGGCTTTCATGGAGGTGTGATTCAAAGCTGATTGGCTGTGTCATAGGTGGATATAGGAGAGCAATCAGTTTCTTCAGTTGAACTTCAGCCTTGGCTCCATTCTAAAAGCAGCTTAAACCAAATTGGGCTTATACTGTGTTAAAACAACTACAACCCCTAAAGCTATGGTTTACATAGAAACAAGTTCCCTAAGCTTTATGACATTGTCTAGCTTGAGTTGGGTTCATGTTTATGCAGAAGTTTCTACTCTGAGTAAAGCCAACTAACAGAAACAAATCCAAGACAGTAACATACAATTAAAAGAAAAATAATCATAATTTGATGTTTTACATGTAAACCGGTACCAAAATCCTGATGAAGATTCTCAGTCATCCAGGTCATAGTCGTTCCAAAAAAGTTGAAAAACAATCCTGTAATACAGGCTAACAAAGAAACAAAACGACCCCCATTCTGTCATGGTCTTGTTTCTGTTGTGTTTTACATTGCTCCTTGTTTTCTAGATTTATTGGTTTAATTCCTATTTTGTTGTAGTTTCTAGATTTATTTTCTCAGGTTTTTCTGTTGTTTTCCTTTGTTGCCCTCTTGTGTGTGTTCCTTTCCCCTTGGCTCCCTCGTTGTCTCCTCTCACACCTGCTCCTTGTCAGCTCGTTAACCCTGCCTTTGTCTCAGTCAGCATTTATACCCTCCCTCTGCTGTCACTCCTTGTTGGTTCCTTGTCTTTGCTATGCTCCCATGCTGTTGTCCACCTACCTCGTCTCTCCCAGGCTCCTCGTGTTTGGTTTCCCCAGATGTCTCCATAGTTCTTGTTTGCTTTTCATTATTAGTTGGATTTTTGCATTCCTTTCTTTGTTTACTGTTTGCCTCATTAAACTACAAGAAATCTCCTCAGCCTCTCTGCCTCTGCATTTGGGTCCTCAAACCACAACCAAACCTTGACACATTCATCAGGTCTAATTTGCATGTTTCTAAGTCAAAACAATGATTTGCTTTGGTCCATTCTATAAAGACTTGAACTCAACGCTATTTCTGATATTTTTAATTGAAAAAGCTGCCTGGATGGAAAGAAAAACATATTCAAATTTGGAAACAAAGACCAGTGGATTGTTTTTTTTTACTTTTTTGGAACCTGTACCAAAACTTTGCATCAAGACTTGATAACTGTGGAATAAACCTTGATATATTTTATTGTAGAATTTATGTCCTTTAAAGGTTTTGTAAAACCTTTATGGGTTTGACAGCAAGTACAATTTTAGATCATCAGATCTGCAACCCCTCCACCTGATTTTTATAAATTTGACAGCACCTCTAATAAACTGGATTTTAAAAATTCTGACCCCAAACCCCCACCCCAACCATTGTAAAGCAGTCCTTGCTCAGTTTTACCACCAATTTCTTCACGGTTTCAGACTGAAACACATTGTAGACCTCTGATATTGTTTTGTTGAGTAGACTGTTTTGTTGAGTATTATCCTGTTTTATTTATGCGTGAAGTGGTTTCTCTATGCATCCGTATGTGTTCAGTATGTGTTTCACACAATAAAATTATATTGCTGCAGTTCAGACCTTCATTTCCCACATTAACAGTTATTGTCCTCTCAGTTAATAACCACTTAATATCACAATGGTTTAGAGTAAATAAAAAATATGTGAGTGTAATATTAATAAAGAGAATATAATTATGAAGTTTAAAATACAATGGTAGAAGTCTACTTTTGACTTGGCCTCTACTGTCCAAGCTTTAGCTTTAGTCTCTTCGACCAAATAATCTAAATCTACAAAAAAAGAAGATGCGAGGGGAATTATCTAATGCTGATAAGCAATTAAATGCTTTTTTCTGACCCTCATATCTAAAGATACAGTGCTACTTCTTTACAGACTTGAATGAAATGTTGTGTTTCATTGTCTTTTTTTAATCTCTCACCAGATGGATTTCTTGTGCCTGTTGGATTGACAGCATGCAAAGGTTTTATAGCTGGAATATCAAAGTGAGTGAGCGTTTGTTCAGAGGGCTGCGTTGGTCACAGGGAGTCCCTTCATCTCTTTCTACTCTCGCCAGAATGAGTGTTTATAGGATTTTCATCTCATTTTCTCCAGTGTTAATTTGTTTCCATGAAGGCAGCCATGACACATTCTCTCCTTCTCCTCAGCCTTCTTGTGGCTTTGTTTTACAGATCTGTGAATTTCTATCCATGTCTTTTGAAATGAGTAGAAGACCAGACTAACTGCTGCTTTCACACAGCTATTTTGACTCTGAGGATGATCATCAGTAATTTCTCTCCATTGTTTCCCTTCCCACAGCATCTTGTATCCAACCCCTGCTATTGCGCACAGCTTTAATGTACTTCTCACCGTATTGTTAGATTTCTTGAGTTATAGTATTATGGTTTATTTGAACGAGAGGATAGAAGCAGTGTGAAGGAACTCAATTTCCCATGCCTCTAAAGAAGTCTCACGTTTCCAGTTTTGCCAGCGTTGTACTCCTCCCTCCCTGTGGCTCTCTTTGGCAAGCAGAAAATGCCACCTCTGTCATCATCAGGATTATATAGAGCTCATTTGGCTTTGATTAGAAAACCATTAAAACACAAACGTGTTGGTGACTGACCTGTGACCTTTCTCATCATGGGACAGGCAAAACCGGTCCCTCACTTTTCCTTTCAGGCTCTTTGGACCCCTCGGGGTCTGGGTCAGGGTTTGGTAGTGTTTGTGCTGTCTTTCTGTCAGACATGCATGATCCACTGCCACTTAGCAAGAGCAGGAAGAAAGGGGGCTGATAAATAGGCTACTTCCGGGCCCAAGGGTTTATTCATGCAATGCAGTGGATTACGTTACGGCTTGCAAACAAAGACCCTACCTCCTTTTATTTAAGAAACATTTGTTGGGGTTAGTATTCAAGGCAACTTTAAGTGTCAATTTCCAGAATGAAAGTTTGCAAAAAGCCTTTTGGGTGTCCTGACCATGTCAGACTATCACTGTACTTTGCTTGGAAATAATTACCCAGAATGCAAAAAGAGAATTTTTGAGTCAATATTTACTTTTAGTTTCCACCCACTGATGAGGATCATATTAAGGAACAAATGCTACTTTTATTACTATTAATTAACAGGTATTTCTTTCTGGTTTACATACATTTAAAAGCAAAATGCAACATTCTAAGACATACAAGTTAAACAAGTTATTCTTTTACTTTCTTAGTCAAAACCAAACCTAGTGTTTGACATGAATTGTCCTGCTCTTAGAGTGGTAAAAAAAAGGTATAATACTAGTGTTGCACCGTCATCAGCATCAAGAGTGTTGCCATTTTTTGGCCCCGATACCAATACCCAATACCTGGCTGTGCAATACCTGGCCGATACCGATACCATATTGATACCATCTGTTTAAATTGATGTGTGTGTGTGTGTGTATATATGAAGAACTGCATACTACTTGGAAGTAAAATTTACCATCATGGCTTTGTCAATCTCCTGCATACCTTTATGAATCAGGAAAAAGACTATTACATAGTGAATCCAGTTTAACTTATTATTGCCAACCTGGAATGGGTGACAATAGTTGAATAAACATTTGGCTCTCAAACTGGTATCTGTGCCCTATTTGTTGGTACTTTATGCTGCAAGTTGTTGGGGGGTTAGTCCCTACCAGATTTGCACATGTACCCATTTGACTGGTGCTCTGCAGCTATATTTGGTGTCTTCTCCGTGATTCTCATGTAATTTTCTCCTTCCATCTTCCCAACAAAACGGCTATAATAGGAGTACCCAGAGCATGATTATACCAACAACATGTTTTGCCATTATGATGGAGGATTCCTTTAAATATGGAGTGGTTGTTCTTGCCACACAATATTAAGCAGATTAAGATGGTGGCTAAGTAATGCAACTAGTTGCACAGGATTTTATTTTTCAGCATCAAAGTAAATACATGCCACACTTACCAAATTTTTTGTTCATCTTTCTTCCATTTGACAATTAAATCCAATTAATTATAATCCATACACAGAGGTTTGTGATTCTAAGGTTACAAAATTTGGAATAACTAAATGGATATCACTACATTTGCAATTCCCCACTGTATGTCCCATGTGTTGCCTCCTTCTTGTTTTTTATTTGAAGTTAGATTGCCATCACCTTTCTTTGTGGGGGAGTTCCTGTGAATTCTCCATCTGGACTGACCACAGCATTTTTGAAGCAAGTAGAGACCAGAGCAGGTGGAGGTTGGCGAAGAACGACAATCTGAATACAAGGTCCTACATGTAGCAGATCATTTAGCTCTTCAAGGGTAGCGTTGACCACAGACACCCCATTCACCTCCATCAGTCTGAGGGAAAAAAATTGATATAAGTTAAAGCTCTAACCTACATCTACAAGCTAAACTTTGATTTTCTTCTATTCAACTGTATAAATTTTTTCAAAAAATCCGTTCTCTTCATTTTGTAGAATTTCTCTTGGTTGTGCTGCTTCCATTACATTTATGTGGTTGCTATATTTGTGTATCAAGGAGAGGATGGCTGGGGACCATGTATTGCGAGATTTTGGGGAACAACCTCCTTCAGTTAGAGCATTGAAGGTGGCTCAAGGCTGGGTCTTCCAACATGACAATGACCCAAAGCACACAGCCAGGATAACCAAGGAGTGGCTCTGTAAAAAGCATATCAAGATTCTGGCGTGGCCTTGCTAGTCTCCAGACCTAAACTCAATAGAGGATCTTTGGGCGGAGCTCAAACTCGTGTTTCTCAGGAGGGACCGCCCAGAAATCCTGAACGATCTAGAGAAGATCTGTGTGAAGGAGTGGGCCAAAATCACTCCTGCAGTGTGTGCAAACCTGGTAAAAAAAATGTTTGACCTCTGTAATTGCAAACAAAGGCAACTGTACCAACTATTGACATTGATTTTTCTCACATGTTCAAATACTAAATGCAGCTGTATAATGCAAATGAATAGTTAAAAAAATCATACATTGTGATCTCTACAATTTTTCTCTCACAGTAGACACTTTGAGACCCCCCTGAACTTGCAAAATACTTTTTTCCCTCATATATATATATATATATATATATATATATATATATATATATATATATAATTCTTTTTTTTTTCATAATCATAATTTTGATCTTTTGATTTTCACTCTTTCACATCCAAGTTTAAAATTACTACGCTACATGTTTTGGGGCTATTACTTAATGGGTCTCCATGGCTACTTAGTGTAAAACAAAACACAGATGAAAGAAATGGGTGAGATGAGTAAAACATGCTTACACTTGCCAAAATGAATCTATAAAGACGCTTTACTCAATAATCTTGGATTATTTGCTCAATATAGTTTTGTTATTTTTGATTGTTACTTCATTACCTGTCCTCCACACAGAGGTGAGAGTTGTCCGCCTTGACCACCACCAGGCCACTGCCATCTCTGTAGCAACACTTAAAGCCATAATGTCCATCAGGAAGTTGCTTCTCCTGCACCACCATTAGCATGGCTGGAGACTGAGGGGTCACAAGCTGACCCAAACTGCTAAAGTCTGAAGTCTTTTTTTGAGCTTTCTCCTGAAAGGACATGAAGCAAAAAATGCTATATCTGCAGATTTGCACAAATGCATGCAATAGAAACATACAATCATGTCCACACCTATATTTTAAGAACATACAGATCTGATTAGTAGATTCTTACCGCCTGTTTCAATACTTTGTAGTGTCACCTGCTAATTATCCTGCAAGTATTTTAGATTATGTCTCCACCAGTTCTGCACATAGTTTTTGGTTATCCTTTTATAACTTAAGCTCAGTTCAACTGGATGCAACTAAATTGCTCTATATTTAGCATTGTTGTCCTGACAGAAGGTAGACCTTTAAATCAGTTATAATTGTTTTGTAGCTGGGTGTACCTCTCATAAATACTTTATATTTAACTTTATCCAGTTTTCCCTTTAACCCTTACACTTCTTTGTTCCTGCTGGAGAAAAGCATCCCGGCAGCATGATGCTGCCACTACCATATTTTGTGTTGATGCAGGTGTTCTCATTATTTGTCTAAGAAGGTTTCTAGATGCACCTAAAAGTGCTGCATGATTTATTCTAAGCTTTTTTTTTTTACTTCCTGGAGAAAAATCTTTGCACACACACAAACAAAAAATGTCACTGGGCTAGGGGAATTCCTTCACAAAGCTGATAACTATTAATGTCAGTTTAGCTCTCAGAACAAATCTCTATTTATGTGGTGATAGAGGCACTCTGACTCTTATTGTTGTATAAACTGTCAGTTAGACCTGTTACATACTACTGAGTTATGAAAATAATCCAGCTATCACCTCCTTAAGTTAAACACACCACTACAGTACAAGAAAGTTCCCAAGAGATAAATACTGTGCCTGCGTCAAAGTCAGTCGACCACCAAGATATAATGATTAGCTCTAAAAGAGATCATGCCACAAGTAGCTTGCAGGAATCAGAAATAACTTGTGAGTCTGACCACTGAATTCCAACGGGCCCTTTATCCAGCCTCTTGGCATACTCCTCTCTTCCCCCACATGGCGTGTGAATGCCTTGCAGCAATAGCTGCCGCCTTGCAAGGGTCAGGGGTCAAAGCTAAAGCTTCTGTCTCTGTAGACAAGTGGGCCAGACAGGATATATCAACGGAAACGCAGCCAAAGCCCCTCGACAAAACTCTAATATGCATCTTTTTTCATCCAGCTTGTTCAGTTTTGGTCATACTCCAAGAACCTGAGGACTTTTCTTTTCATATTCTTCTTGTTTGTGCAGGTTTTAATAAAATCCCTGCCTACCTGAGGCAAAACAATGGCACATTTCCACAAATCCAATCCAAAGGCAGTAAAAACATCAGGAATTATTCTGCAAAGATAATGAAAGGGAGAAAGATAACCTAGCAGGGGTGCAGTTAATTTAAAACTTAAGATGCCCTATCTCTTGCTTAAAAAAGAAAAAAATCCCTCCATCTAGAAAAAGGACTTACTAAAGGATAAACCCATAATTTTTCAGATTTCCTCTCCACTACTGTCCATCAAAAGTTTTTAAACCATCAAAGCTAAACGGCTTATTTAAAGTCATTTCCCATTTGATGTTCTCACCCTTCACCCCTGAGTCTCTCTGTTTTTCTCTGAGCCCCCACTGCCCACCCCCCCTTCCCCTCTCAGCTGCTTTATTGATGCTCTCCAGTTGCAGGCGATCCTGGTGATTAGACTACAGATGATGAAATATTTCCTTATTGTTTGAAATTCAGGGCAGCCTACAAGGACTAAACACTGGGCGGTCTGTTCCTTATTTGAACAGCAGCTCTATCTAGTTCCCAGACTGCTCCTTGGCTCTGACCTGTGTGTTAACTCTGATTAGGTCATATGATAAACATTAGTGCTGCTGCTTTTCCCACAAACTCAGCACCTAAAAAAGTGTGGCCCGGGGGCGGCAATGTGACACGGGGCACCTTTCAAAGCCAAAGCCGCGTGTGTCCTTTCATGGCATCTCGTTAGGGCTTCACCGACGAGATAAAAGAGCCACGTTAAAAAAGAAGGGGAGCTCCACTGGGGGATAGATGCAGATAGTTTTACACATACTGGCCCATTTCTCAATTTCACTCTCCCAGTAGCCTTTGTCACATGCATTCCATTGTTGGTATGGTCACAGGCTCTCAAATGTCAGTGCTAAACATCCTTTTCTCAGTAAACACAGCATGTTCATCTAAATGATTGCTCTGTCTGCTTGTTCTTAGAAAAGGAAATGCTTTATGCTTTTGCTCAGATATATCATCCATCCATTCTTGCAACTCACAGTAGTTAGTTTTATAGAGAAATTGAAAAGAAAGTAGAGAAAATGTAAGTAAAACAAGTAAGCACAAGGTACCTTGGACACCAAAAGTCTCTAAGGAGTAACAGCTTAGTGCACAACACTAAACTCAGACTTTAGTGTATTCATTACACAATAAGATAAGAATTGTGATAGAAAAGTGTCTATCTATTGATGATTGAGTAAGGACTGAAATGGAGTAGGCCAGAAGAGACAGCGTCTAAACACAGTATCTTGGAGTCTCACCACACCGGTTCCCGGTTGTATGTTTTATCTGCACATTATACATTTTGACTGCTCCATTTCTGACGAGCATTCTTACTCTGATGCCAACCTACAATATTTGTCATGAAATCTGTTATCATGCAGATTGTGCAGGACATTTGTCTCAATATACACAAGTCTAGGTTTTAAAATTAGCTTAGAGCAACTTATATACATGTAAAATTTGCAAGGGGAGCTAAATATCTAGAGTTTTAATAGAATTTGTTTAGATGTTCTTTCCTCAGTTTAGCTCAGACACTGAGAAACGTTGATGTTGCTACAGCTAATAATTGTTCCTGCTAAACTTCATGCTCACAAACAAAACCTATGGTTGCTCCAACAGTCTTTAGACCCATTGCTGTAGCTATATGTTGCAGAAAAAGAGTAATGTTTCACAATGCAGTTCAGAATATCAAGCATTTTAAATCAGTGGGAAAACAAGGGTTTCCTGGATAGATGATCATTGACCTCTTTTACGTGTTAACTGTATACAGCCCATGCAGAGTAAAATACTTTTAGACTGCCATTTTGGTCCTGGTGCTGTCACATAATTCCAGTGTTTTCTGGTTTCTTGCTTTAAAATTTTATGATGTATGATCTTTGATATAATACTGAGCCTTTTTGTCAATTCAACAACAGTTTTGATTCATGGCCTCCCTTCTAAAATAGCCATGACCACCTTGTTTTACTCTGCTAACTTGCTTAAGATTTAAACATCCAAGTATACAAAGAAACCTTCACATTGCCTCGCAAATTGATTTATGCACCAGATCAGGAATGTCTGAGAAGAAATAAGGCTAGTTATGCAAGTTTCTCTAAAACAGTTAAGAATAGCTCAAAAGCAATTTTTTGCAAAAGCACCAAATTTGACTGTTCTTGTGCTGAAATGGTCTTATTATTCCATTCCAGACATGCCTCTCCCAGTATCTGCACTTGTTTTGGTGCACATACAGTATCAGTTTCTCAGTGTTTATTTTTGGAAATGAAAACATTCTCCGTCTCAGACGATAGAACTTTCCCACATATTGGTGCCACTGTCATTCGTATGCTGTTGATTAAACTCAACTGACTGAGCCCAAGGCCCTTTCTAAATGTTTGAATTAAACTCTGCAATGATACAAGCAATCGATAAAAGGCACTAATTGTATCTTCAGTACCTTCATGCAGCTTCCTTGCCAGGCATTCAGGAGATTAGCAGCTTGACGATTAAGATGTACAATGATAATTTCCTCCTTAAACACTTGGCAGTTTAACTTCATCTTTTCCAGCAAACGAACCTCCAGTTGTCTAAATGGAAGGAGAGCACATATAAGTGACTGTGACAGACGTATATTCATGTGGTCACATAAAGTTTGCTAAATTATCAGTTACAGATAAACATTTTCTACTATAGTTAGAGTTTATTTTAATTTAACATGAGTTATAGAAGTATAACACACTTTCAGTCACAATAATAAAAAAAAAAAGATGCACACATCACTGGGCCCACCAAGGGAATACTCTTAACTTTTATACAATCAAAACAATGTTGGTGTTCTGATAAACCCAAGCAGCTGGTGCACGGAGGAGATAGAGATAACAAGACAAGTGCAAACAAAAGTTTTAGGAAAAAATATAATACCTAAAAAGATATAACAGATATAGACTTTCTCCTGGAAAATAATAATATAAAAGGTGTGGGAAATATATGGCAATCTATTAAACGGCTCTAAATTAATAAAAGCTTAATTTACATTTGTGCCATTATGTAAATGAAAATAAGTAGCAGAAATACCTGAACATGAACACTTGCTTTGGCTAAGCTGAAAGTAGATTTAGTATATGAATAAATCTAGGGGGTTTAGTAATCCTTTTAAATGACTTCATTGTTTTTTTTTACTTAAGAATATAATAAAATCCATGGACAACCTGAAAAGGATTACAGACAATAAAACTTAGGACATGCTCAGAGAGAAAGTGGAAATCATTGTGAGGAGAACTATAAAAACCCTACACAAACACACAGTTTTGTATTGTATTTTATGGGAAAACTGAAAAATCTGCACATTGATAACTGACCAGTTTATATAATTCAGTATGGCAAAATTGATGAAAGGCTCATCCTAACAAGAGATTTAAGGGAATCCTCATGCAAGTTTTATTCAAGAAGAACCGTGTTCAACAATATTTTTCATAATGTCATTTAAAAACTGGCAGGGAGTAAAATAAATAAATCTGGAAAGACATGTGTCATGATCTTATTACTGATGACTGGCTTTATTGCTCATTTCATTCACATGTCCAATTCTGCCTGGTTTTCTCATCACTGCTCATTTGATCTAAGTGCTCCTGCTTCTGTTGCTTGGTCCCAGTTGTCAGTACAAGATTATTCTTGAGCCTTAGGGAATAGTTATTCTAGCATTAATTATTATGTTCTGATTGACTTATCCTAACCTGTTTCTCTCTTCGGACCTTTGACCCTGCCTGCACCTGTTCTGATCTGTTTGCCTGACCTGTCATTCATCTGTTCCTTCAAGGTTTGACCATTTAGAGCTCTCTGTGCAGCAACCACTGTGTCTGGTCAGCTGACCAGCTGGCATCCATCTCGTTCTCTGGGCTCTAAAACAGGTTAGTGACTCACAAGTTCAGATTGTCCTTTTTGTGGTCACTAACCTGTGTTTCCCCATTATAGAGTTACCTTCCTTAAGACACCCTAGCTGCTGAGGATATGCACACTGTGTGGTTTTTAAATAAATGCTTTTGAAGTTATTCCACTGCTTGTCTTGCCTGAATACTGGGTTACTCTTCTGAGTCGTAACAAGATGTAGTTCCAGTAATCCCTTTAAAAAAATAAAAAAAAAAAAACATCCCCAACAGAGAAAAACAGAGGCTAACTAGATAAAAAGGAATGTGCTTTATTTTTATTTATAAGCTTTTACCATTTATCTTCCATGGGAAACGTGGTAATATTTTTATATTTATCTGCTAGCAAATTCTAAAAGGCCTATTGATACAGTACTTAAATGTAAACACACATGTTGTGTCACACTTGTGTGGACTTTCCATAGACTTCCATTCATTTATCACTCATTTCTATGACCTGACCCCAACCCTGACCCTAACTATTACCAATATATGCCGAAACCCAAACCTAACCTAAACTCAATTCATACCTCAGTCCTTAACCTCATCCCCATCCCTCGAAGAGAACATTTCCTCATGGGAAACAGTCATTGTTCCCCACAACTACCTTTACATTCCCAATATGTAGCCTATTCCTGGGAAATTGTCTCCAATATTTAACAGAAACATGGCCACACACACTGCTGTTAAAGCTATCTATGCTATCACTAATAAATGTCAAAACAGCTTTATGGATCTAGCTACTTCCTTTTTCGAATTTTCAAACAAATATCAGCACAAAGCAAAATCTCACTAAATAAAAAAAAAAAAACTCTGAAATTTTAATTCAATTTAATGAAAGAATTTATCAAAATGGAAATAATACAAATTCAAAGTATCTCTATAGGAAAACGTAATGATCTATTGTTATTATATAAAAGGTGCTTATGTGGCACCTTGTGTCATAAACTCTCATCAAGTTTATAAGTGTTATAGTTAATTTTTGAACAACTGTTTGATATCAGCCACAATGGAGGGTTTTCGAATATTAACAGATTATTTTGACCCTTTCACGCCTAGACTATCCTTTCTACATTCAATCATGTTTTGCCTCATGACCCAAGTGAGGTAGAGATTATATAAACTGACAGGCAACCCCTGTTGTTTAGGATATCTGCTGGAGAACAGAATTCCTGGTTATTCCCAGCCAGGCCTAAATAAGCCACGCAGCCTCAGATCGTCACGCTGTCACCAGATTATATAAATTGCCCTTCTCATTTTTACACCAGATGTAACAAGGCACAAACCTACAAAGTTGATTTTATACATCAGATGGGATCTGTTTAATTGTTTTGAGTGACACAGGTTTGGCAGTTATATAGTCTGGGTGTGCCTTGGTAAATTGAATTAAAATATCTAGTCATTCGTTGTTTCATAATTCTAGAAGAAGAGTGATTATACTTTTTGCAAGGACTGAATAGTTTGGTTACCGGTACATTTTTTTCTCTGAATGAATGAATTCATCATTTGAAAATAGCTTTTTATCTCTTGTTCTGCAGCAGGTAGCACTGCTGCCTTGCAGCAAAAAGGTTGTGGGTTCGATTCCCGGCCCTGGGTCTTTCTGCATTGAGTTTGCATGTTCTCCTTGAGCATGTGTGGGCTCTCTCTGGGTACTCTGGCTTCCTCCCAAAAACATGACTGTTAGGTTAATTGGCTTCTCTAGATTCTCCTTAGGTGTGAGTGTGTGCGTGAATGGTTGTATGTCCTTTTTGTCTCTGTGTTGCTCTGGCGACCTGTCCAGTGTGTAACCCGCCTCTCGCCCGTAGACAGCTGGAGATAGGCACCAGCACCCCTCGCGACCCCAATGGGGACAAGCATGTCAGATAATGGATGGATGGATTTTAGCATGATATAAAGACAGAAAGAAATAAATCTAATAAAAGGGAAGGTTCTTTTTGTACTCTTTTCACCATTGTAAAAGAAAATGATTTCATTATTTCTGTTTTTTTTGTTAATGACATTATTATCTCTGATATCAATTAAAAAAATAGTTTTGATGTTTCAAATAATCAAGTAAAATGCTTTATTTCTTGACTGTAAAAAAGTAAAGCACACAGTGGTGCATCTAAGGAGGAGAGTTTCTTGTATGATTGTATTCTGAGGTCAGAGCACCTTTACAAAGATATTTCACCTACCTGCTTTTATGAGCGGCTGAGTTGTTAATGTTGTCCCTGAGGATCTGCAGCCTCTGCCTTTTCTCCTCCAACTGGCTGTTAACCATCTCAAGCCTCTGTTTCAGCTCAGCAGAACCCAGCTTGTCCAGGTTAGCATTTGGATCCATGTTCTTTATCTCTGCGCAAAATGCTACCAGGTCGTGGTGAAGCTCCTGGACCTTCAGGAGTGAAACGTGCCACTTAACTATAGTCCTTACTATTAATGAAAAGCTGCATTTGCATTTTAAAATGGAGATTCAGACCTGAAGGATGACATTCTGCAGAGAGTCCACTTGTTGGTTTAGCTCCCGGATTCTCTCTTCTTTTCCTGGCTGGTTCACCTGGGTGTTTTTGTTGATGTTGCCTTTTTCACTATCAATTTCTGGACTTGGTTGTGATATAGAAATCATTTGCTTGTCCTGTAAGTTAAGATGGAGTTTAATGTTTTGCATGCTGTAAAAAGTGTAAATGCAATGTCAAATTTCAGGACCTTTTTACACAGATGCAGCTCCAGCTGTGTGTTCTCCAAAGGTGTTTTCAGTAAGACTCCTATTTGCTGGTCCAGGGAGAGCTCATCAAGGGAATCTGTAATGAAAACACTCAATTATATCAAGACTCTGTATTAAACTGTATGCCTTTTAAAAATACATGGAATGTGCCTGGTTAGTTTTGCACCTTGCTTTTCTTTTAGTGTGAATAGGGTCTTATCACCATCCAGTCCAAGCATTTTCATACACGAGTCCATGATTTTTCCCACTGTTGTTTCCTTTGGAGTTCTGAGATGAACAATACGCTCTGATGCTGCAAGATATACATGACTCTTGAGTTATTTAAGATATTTAAAATTAAACAATAATTCATCAAGAAAGCTCAAAACTGCTGAGCAGACATTAGAATTATGTTGCTTTTAGGGCCTTGCAAAAGGATTCATACCCATCGTGCCTTTTTTTACATAACAACCCCACATTTAATGTCAATTACTTTAAAATTACGAGATTGACAACAATATTTGAAAAGTACAGTTTTCAATTTCATCCAGCCACAATGAAGTAAAGAACCAATTTTACAGTGGAGAGCCTTCTAGATACAGTATGTCTCCACTAACCTTCCAGATGCAGAAACTTTTTTTTTTTTTCTTGTTTTACAAAATTGCTAAGCTTTAGGCAGGTGGGATGAAATGTCTGTAAACATCCTCTTTTTAAAATATACTTGCTACATATCAATTTGATTTGGATCTGGAGTTGTGACTGGGCC